TTTTCAATCTATTGACAAGATCATCAAGCTTGTCTTTCCAGTCTCTCCAACGACCAACTTTCTCTTCTTTTTCGGCCTCTTTTCTGAAATGAAAGGCCATGTTAGTGTTAGCGACGCATCATATTCTTTGGTTTCAAAATTACTAAATTTTGGTCCGGCAAACAAATAGTTAGACCCTAAAGGGCCTTGCCATCTCATGTTAGGAAATCTGGAATCTGGATTTCAAGAACTGCGAGTCCTGGAATTAATTAGAAGTATTTCAAGCATTTTCAGCATTGTTTCTCGTTTTGGATGTCATGTACCAAAGTATCCCAAATTGTAGACAAAATCTAGACAACATTATATTGGCCATTACCTAACCAAGAATCTCCTGTAGATCAGTAATAGGGCATCCGACTAGAATCGGATTATTCCTCCAGGCCCTTTACTATGGTTGTGACACGCTTAATGATTTCATCTCATATTTTCAATTGTCAATAAATTAATAATATCTGTTCTTATGCATCTTCTACACTAATTGGGTGGTAGCGGCGGCCATCACAGACTGTCCGTTCGCGAGGCAATCCTTCGCGTGACAAACGACATTCAGATTTGACTATTTATTACCTTTCTGCTGGAGATAAATCATCGAAGAGCAGCGTAAAGACCTCGTGTGTTGGTTCTTTCTTCTTTAACTAATAATTTAATAATATAACATTAGTTAATGGTAAATTGAATATTAATGATAAGAATACGTGGCAGGGTAGAAGGCTCACCTCCTCGTGGGAACTCTCTAATCCATGGTCTTCGTCGTCCTCAAACTTGATATCCACCTTGGCTCTCTTGTAAAACTAACGTAAATCAATCAATCAATCAATCAATCAATCAATCAATCAATCAAAATGAATTAATAGATGATTGAATCAAAATATATGATAAAATAAATAAATAAATATAAATGAAATAAAACGCGTAAACAATTCCTTATTTTTACTCTTGTTGACCGGTTCTTACATGTGGATGAATGTGTTCATGGTGATTATGATCATCTTCGAATCGGAAATCTATTCCCTCTCTTGCGTGGAACTGTTGTTCGACGGGCTGAAATAATATGAATGGATCATGTAAGGATATTGAAAGCTACGAGAGAAAGTTTGACATAAAATTTATTTTTTCGAAAAACAGGAGTAGAATTAAGATAGGAAACGGAATGAAGTGGGAAAAAGGGAAAGAAATGTATAACTTACTTCCTCCTCGACTAAGAATTCTTGTATTTCAAACTTGCTGGGGTGTGATTCGATCAATAACTCGTGGAGTCTATTAACACAGAAAGTATATCAATCACGTGGCCAATCATGTGGTCTGGTAATTTCCTTACAAGGAAATACCTTTGTAACTTAAATAACAAACACATGCATCTGGCAGATGATCACGAATCACGTGATCACGAATCACGCAATCACGAATCACTTGACTACTCAATTTCCATATAAGGCTGTGAGACAAACGTGTGCAACCACTTGTACAATGCAAGTCATAATGTGATGACGAAACATGTGACAGGATAAACTTCCTCATAAGTAAACAACAATTTAGACGAATCACGTGATTAGCCAACTCCTAATGAGGATGTCTGTCATCCCATACCTTTCTTCCTCTTCATAGGCATCTTTGTGGAGCTCTCTTAGCCTGGTCCTCATGTACGAGATATATTCTCTTATCTCCACTTTCTCGTTTTCATCCAGATGTTGATCATCTAGGAGGTCGTCAGCGTGATCTAAAGCATCTCTGATCATCGGCTCAGATTCTTCGATCTCTTCTTTACAATCCTTAGAAAATTAATTTATTTGATAAATAAGAATTTGTCACGTTACTAGCCTAGTCCTGTATCCAGGATTTCTCTCGAGGGGGTTACGCCTCCCTCCCTGCACCCCCCCCC